CTTCTAGATTTCCAAGAAATGTTTTTCTGCTTCCTAGGTGCTTCAAAACAGAACTACCTCCTAAAGAGACCTTAATGTGAACCTTAAATTATAAGACTATGTTTTTTAAAAAATGATTTTATTTAACTTTATTTATTTATGTATTTATTTTAATTTGACCAGAGAAGGACACAGTGAGAGAGAGAGAAAAAAAGTGAGAAAACAAGCTGCCAGGTCCAGGACTGAAACTGCGGTCACCCATATGAGAGTCCCGCACCCTTAACCACCATGCCACCTTCTGGCCCCAAGACTGGTTTCTGAATGAGACAGATTTAATGTCTTGTCAGTTTTCCATGGAAACTTAATGCCTAGGATACAGGTTGGGTATCCCTTATTTAAAATACTTAGGATCAGAGGGTCAGCAGGTGGAATAGTAATTAAGGCAGTTGACTCCCACTTGGCTAACTGAAGTTTGAGTCCTGGACCCAGAGGCTTAGAACTCGGGCTGGGCATGTGTGCGTGTGTGCCCCAAATCCCAAGAGGAGAATGGAGAAGGGATTGTGGTACGACCAATGACCCTGGGGGATACTTTCTCACTTTCTCTGTCTCTCTGGCAAGTGCATGCGTCCTATAGTAAAAACCTCTCTTTAAAAATAAAAAAAACCCACTTAGGATCAGAAGTGTTTTGGATTTTGGATTATTTTTTTCAAATTTTGGAATATTTCCATATATATAATGAGCTCTCTTGGGAATGGGAGCCAAGTCTAAATATGATTTTTTGTTTCATGTACACCTTATACACATAGCCTGAAGATAATTTTATATGGTATTTTTGTGTTGCAGTGTTTCCACTGTGACTCATCACATGAGGTCAAGTATAGAATTTTCCACTTGTGCCATCATCTTGGTGCTCAGAAAGATTTGGAATGTTTTGGATTTCAGATCTGGGGATTACGAATGCTCAGACTGTGTCATGATTTTTATGGCAATTAAAGTGGTTCCCATGTGACCAAGATAAGTGTGGACCCTATACAAAGTTGTTCATCATAATCTCCTAGGGAACTTTGTATGAACAGAGACACAGATACAGGGACCAACCTCAGATTACACTCAGCAGTGGGCCCTAGGAATCTATATTATTACTTTACAACATTTCTTTTTTTTTTTTTTTATAGAGAATTTTGCTATAGTGTGCGTATGCTTGCCAGAGAGACATAGACAGAAAGCAAAATATCACCCCCCCCGCCCCCCCGGGGAGATGGCACACCACAATCTCTTCTCCTCCTTTCTCCTCCCAGTTTCTCGGGCACACATGCACATGTACCCTGTGTGAGTTTAAGCTTCTGAGTCCAAGACTCAAACTGCAGTCAATATTGTGGGAGTCCAGCCATGTAACCATTATGCCATCTGCTGGTCCCAAAACATTTTTTTTAAGGAATGATAGTATTTTTATAAAATGACTCATGAGCATTAAAGCAGTTTAAATTTCCTCCCAAAATGAACTATTGTCATCATTTGGCAAAAATCTTACAAATGTCCTTGTATGTGCATTCCTTCCTTATAGTTTATTATGAAAACTTTCAAATATATAGAAAAGTTGAAAAAGTTACAGAGAACATTCATATGCCTACCCCCTAGATTCCACAATTAATATTTATTATTACTTGTTTTTATCACATATCTATTCATCATCCCTTTATTAATCCACCCATTTTAGTTTTTGATTAATTTCAACATAAATGGAGGACTGACCCTGTAGCCCAGTAGTTAAGCACTGTGCATTGCTAGCCAGATCCCTCATGGCTGACTGCATTTTGAATACTGGCCCTTACAGCTTATAAAGCATTCCAGTTTCATCTAAGTATGCTCCAAATTCTGACGGGAGAGAAAAATAGAGGAAACAGGATTGCATTGTGACCACACCCCATCAGGAGGTACTTTCTCTCACTCTCTCTTTAGCCAGGGCATGTGCCCTCTGATGATTAAAAAAAAAATGTAGGGACCAGCAGACGGTATAATGGTTACATTGCTGTACTCCCACAGTCGACTGCAGCTCAAGGCCCAGACCCAGTGGCTTGAAATTCACGCCAGGAGCATGTGCATATGTGCCCAAAATCCTGAGAGGAGAATGGAGAAGGGATTGTGGTGGGGGCATCCTCCCCCAGGGGTGATATCTTGCTTTCTGTCTCTCTGTCTCTCCACAAGTACATGTGTCATATAGTAAAAATCTCTCTTTCAAAAAAAAAATGTAAATGGAGATGTCAGTACCTGCTATTCTAAGTACTTCAACATGCTTATCATTAGTTGACATATGGGCTAATAAAATGTATAATTAGATAGATTAATAGGTAGAACAATAAAGGCAAGTAGTTACATTGACAGAAAAATAACACAGAGGAAAATGTTTATACAAATGAGTTTACATTGGGGACCAGCAGGTGGTGTGGTGGTTAAGGTGCTGCACACTCCCACATAGGTGACCATGGTTCGAGTCCCAGACCCAGTGGCTTGAAAATCACACTGTATTTGTGTGTGCATGCATGCCCAAAATCCAGGAGGAGAATGGAGGAGCAGTGATTGCAGCATGACCATCCTCCCTAGGAAGTGATTTCTCACTTTTCTACTCTCTGTTTCTGTCTCTCTCTGGTGAATGCATGAGCTCTATGGTAAAAACCTTAAAAAAACGAGATTACAGAGATAAGTGAAAGGTAAATTTAAAAACTATGTGTAAAATATAAAACTTGCAAATAAACATAGCAGATGAGTAGGCAGGAGATACAGTTTGGGAGTCATCAGCATGTGGATGACTTTATAGTCATAAAGTGGATAAAGTCATCAGGAATGAACAGATAGAGCAGAGACATCACCTAAGCACTGAGCATTGGAACGTTCTGACTTTAGGAGGTTACATAGAAGAGCAAATGAAACCTAAGAAGGAGTAATGAGGTAGAAGGAAAGTCTTAGAAAGCTAGTGAAGAAGGGACCAGCAGATGGCATGTTACATTGCTGGACTCCCATGTATTTGACCACGGTTCAAGTCCTGGACCCAGCAGCTTTAAACTCACACCGGGAACATGTGCATGCGTGCCCAAAATCCCAAGAGGAGAATGGAGAAGGGATGGCAGCATGACCATCCTCCCCCGGAGGGTGATTTCTTGTTTTCTGTTTCTCTCTGTTTCTCTGGCAAGCACACGCACCCTATAGCAAAAATCTCTCTCTAAAAAAAAAAAAAAAAAAAAAAACAAAAAAAAAAAAAAAAAAAAAAAAAAGAGGGCTGGCAGGTGGAGTTGTGTGGTGGTTAAGGGTCCATATAGCCAACTGTGGTTTGAGTCATGGATCTGGCAGCTAGCTTTCTCACTTTCTCTTTCTCTTTCTGTTCCTCTTTGGTGAAATTAAAAATAAATAAATCAAAAGTTAAGTAAAATAATTCTTAAAAAAAAGAAAGAAAGAAAGAAAGCTAGTGAAGAAAATCTGACCCTGGGGCCTAGGGGTTAAGAGAGCTGGATGCCATGTGGCTTGCCATGTGATTTGAAGCCAAGACTCTACAGCTTGAAAAACATGCCAGGTGTGTTTGCATGGGCATGTGCCCCAAATCCTGAAAGAATGGAGAAATGGAAAAGGGATTACAGTAGTCTTCTGTGTGAGGACACAGTGAGAAGGCACCATCCATAAACCAGGAAATGGGTCCTGACCAACATCCAATCCAGTGGTGCCTTGATCTTGGATTTCCAGCCTCCAGGACTATGAGAAATATATTTCTATTCTTTATATTGATAGATTACCCTGCTTAAGGCATTTTGTTATATCAGCCTGCATGGACTAAGACATCACAGGAATGGGTTGATACGTTAGAGGATAAAATTATTGGAGGACATGAATTAAAGGAATTCAGAAGCCACAGTCTTGAAAGGATTATCTATACATATATTAAAATTACCAAGACCATTTTCATAATATTATCATCATAGGATTGCTGTGAGGCATAAGGAGTCATTATATATAAACCACTTTTATTACTACCATTTCATCTCTTTCACTGTGATTATCTCAATCTCTTTGTTTATACCACTAATTTTATTTTTAGCCCTGCAAAAGAATTAATATATGTGAAGTGCTTAGAAGAGCATTTTCTGTTATGTAAGTGCTTACTTATTTCATCGAATTTAATGTGATTATTTTGAGCTCTTTGTTTGACCGTTTATTTTTAGTCCTGTCTATTTTGTTCTCGACATTTCATGCTTATTAGGTCTGTTATGATAGATTTTGGTTCTTACTTTGCTGTCTTAGCATTGTACTTTTTAATCATCTGCTTTTGTTTTGTTTTCTTTAAGACTGTCTGCTTTAGGCCCATAGGTGGTGTGGTGCTTAATGTGATGGATCCCATATGGCTGACTCTGGTTCAGTCCTGGACCCGATGGCTTAAAAAAATGCCAGGTATATGTGTGTCTAAATCCCAAGGGGAGAATGGAGGAGAAGGGATTGTGGTATGGCCATCCCCCTCAGGGGGTTGATTTCTCACTTTCCCTCTTTGTCTCTCTCTGGTGAGCCCATGTGCTCTACGGCAAACATCTTGAGAAAAAAAAAAAAGGGAAGAAAAAACTGTCCTTCCTTTGCACATTATATTTCTTTCCCTTTCTTCACCTCCTTTTATAAAAAGTTATTTGGCTAGATGATACTTATTTGATCATCAGAAAAGTCATAACACATTTTTCCATAGAAAAACATAGAAAAAAATAGGGCCGGCAGGTAGCATGGTGGTTAAGGGTGCTGGACTCCCATATGGTCAACTGCGGTTCAAGTCTAAGACCTGGCAACTTGCTTTCTCTCTCTCTCTCTGTCCCTCTTTGTTGAAATTTTAAAAATAAATAAATAAATAAATAAAGTTAAATAAAATAATTCTTTTTTTTTTTTGGAGAGATTTTCACTATAGGGCACGTGCGCTCGCCAGACAGACAGAGAGAGACATTAGAGACAGAAAGCGAGAAATCACCCCCCAGGGGGGATGGTCACGCCGCAATCCCTTCTCCTCCATTCTCCTCTCGGGATCTTGGGCATGCACGCACACGCGCCCGGCGTGAGTTTTAAGCCACTGGGTCCAGGACGCGAACCGCAGTCGACTACGTGGGAGTCCAGCGACATAGCCATTACGCTAACTGCTGGTTCCCAAATAAAATAATTCTTAAAAAAAAAGTGTCGTGACTTTTCCGGCAACCCAATATATTGTTGCTATGCCTTTTTTTTTTTTTTTTTTTTAAGAGAGATTTTTGCTATAGGCCACGTGCACTTGCTGGAGAGAGACAGAAAGTGAGAAATCACCCCCGGGGTGATGGCCATGCCACAATCCCTTTTCCTCCATTCTCTTCTTGGGATCTTGGGCAGGCATGCACATATACCCAGCGTGAGTTTTTAAGCCACTGGGACTGAACCTTGAACCACGGTCCAGTATGTGGGAGTCCCGTGACATAACCATTCCACCATCTGCTGGTCCCACCATTTAACTTTTTAATTATTTCTGGTTTATATATAATTGATGTATATCTTTGTGGGCTATAGTATGAGGTTTCCTTTTCTTTAGAGAGATTTTTGCTATAGGGTGTATTGCTCACTGGAGAGACAGAGAAATTGTTGAAATCACCCCCCAGGGGAAGATGACTGTGCTGCAGTCCCTTCTCCATTCTCCTCTTGGGATTTTTGGCATGCACGCACACACATCTGGCGTAAGTTTGAAGCTGCCGAGTCCAGGACTCGAATCATAGTCAGCCATGTAGAATAGTACATGAATCACTATGCCACCTGCTGGCCCTAACAGCATGGTTTTTTAAGGTATGTGTACCATGTATAATAATCAAATCAAGTCAAGGATATACCCACATTGATCTTCTTCAGCATTGAATATTACATTACATTATACACAGTTTTTAATAGTTCTACTAGTTTTTTTGGGGGGGCTGGGGGAGAGGTTTTTGCTATAGGACAAGTGCGCTCGCCAGAAAGACAGAGACAGAGAGACAGAAAGCGAGAAATCACCCCCCCGGGGGGATGGCCACACCACAATCCCTTCTCCTCCATTCTCCTCTCGGGATCTTGGGCATGCACGCACACGCGCCCAGCATGAATTTAAGCCACAGGATCCAGGACACGAACTGCGATTGACTACATGGGAGTTCAGCGACATAGCCATTATGCTAACTGCTGGTCCCACTAGTTTTGGGGGTTCTTTGAATATTTATTAAATTGTTCACATTTTTTTTTGAGAGGTTTTTGCTATGGGGCGCGTGCGCTCGCCAGACAGAGACAGAGACATCGAGACAGAGAGACAGAAAGCGAGAAATCATCCCCCAGGGGGGATGGTCACGCCGCAATCCCTTCTCCTCCGGTCTCCTCTCGGGATCTTGGGCATGCACGCACACGCGCCCGGCATGAGTTTTAAGCCACTGGGTCCGGGACGCTAACTGCGGTCGACTACGTGGGAGTCCAGCAACATAGCCATTACGCTAACTGCTGGTTCCCGAACATTTTTTACTTTGCTGTGATACATCATCTGGAAGTCTCTTTCCATTATTTATGTCCATGTTTGTATCCATTTTATTTTCTTGTGAACCCCCACCTGCTCATTTTATCTTTCATCTCAGCTTTTTATCCCATCAGGATCTTCTGAGATTTCCTTTCCTTTCTTTTTTAAATAGGGCAACTCTTCAAAAACCTTCTAGGTGTTCATTGTTGCTTCTCCTAAGATGTTACTCAGGTTCTCTGGTAGGCATGGGTGAATTCCCTTAAACATTCTTCCTAATGGCACCAATTTTTTTTTTTTTGAGAGGTTTTTGCCATAGGACGTGTGCGCTCGCCAGACAGAGAGACAGAGAGACAGAAAGCGAGAAATCACCCCCCAGGGGGGATGGCCACGCTGCAATCCCTTCTCCATTCTCCTCTCGGGATCTTGGGCACGCATGCACATGCACTCAGCGTGGGTTTTAAGCCACTGGGTCCGGGACACGAACCACGGTCGACCATGTGGGAGTCCAGCGACATAGCCAATTTACTTCATTCAGCAACTATTGGGTGCCTGAGGATGGCTGTGTGAGGGGAAAACTCTGCTAGATGGAGGGGTCTTCCTACTCAGTTCTGTTCTCTTCTGAGATCGAATAACTAACCCTGTACAGTGGCTTGTACCCCAACACCTTCCCTGTCAGGGGTAGATATCACTTCTGTGGGTGCCTGTTTGCCTTTGTTGAGTTCTGTGGGGGTCTCTACTCTAGATCTTGCCTCTGGAGACTATTAGTAAGAATTTTAAGAATTTTCAGGACTTTTGCCAACTCTCTTTTCTTTCCACACTGTCTGGAAGGGGGCTAGGAGCCACACCTCAGCTTTCTTTCCTTTTTTTTTTTTTTTTTTTAGAGGTTTTTGTCTTAGGGTGTGTGTACTTACTGGAGACAGACAGACAAAAGACAGTGAGAGAGAAAGTGAGAAATCACCTACCTGGGGGGATGGCCATGCTGCAATCCCTTCTCCTCCATTCTCCTGAGGTCTTGGGCATGCATGCATATGTGCCCAGCATGTTTCAAGCTACTGGGTCTGGGACTCGAACCACAGTCAATCACATGGGAGTCCAGCAATGTAAATGCTACACCATTTGCTGGCCCCCACACCTCCGCTTTCTATCCCACCAAGATCTTGGGAGATTTCACTTTCTTGCTCTCAGCTTTTCAAATTTGCTTGTTATCTGTGCTTGGTTTTGTTTTTGTCTCAAGACACACACACACACACACACACAAACACCACACTATAATTTTGCTTTTTCCACTAGGAGAGTGAGATTCTGATAGTGTTTATTCTACCATATTAATCCCACAGTAACTAGAACTTACAGTTTTTGAAAGTCCTCTCCAAGTAATTCCAGTCCTCAGCTGTTTTTGGAAATAGCCATGTTTAGGCTATACAGAATTGAATCCCTTGAGAGAGCCCTCAGAACTCTTCTCTGGCTAATACATCCCAAGTCGTCAGTTTACCTCTGCTACTTTTCTGTAATGGAGAGAAATAGCCTTTCTCTTCCTAATGGAGGACCTTGTGTTTCTCCGGGGCTTGCATGTTGTCATCATGTTTAAACAGACGCTCTGAGCATTCTTCACTCTGCTTCCTTCCCAGATGTGTGACAGCGTGGAAGAGGGGGTGGATGGAGACACCGTGAACATGTTTGTGGCACACCCAACCACTCCTGCACAGTATTTCCACTTGCTTAGAAGACAAATGGTCCGGAACTTCAGAAAACCCCTCATCATAGCTTCTCCCAAGATGTTACTCAGGCTTCCTGTAAGTATAGAAAAGACTGACTAATAAGTCTTTTGTCATTATTTTAAAAACTATAATAATAATAATTATTATTTTAAATTTGACCAGAGAGAGAGAGGGAAAATGAAGAAGCAAGCCACCAGGTCTGGGACTTGAACTGCAGTCAGCCCGGTAGGAATCTAGTGCCTTAACCACCATACCACCTGCCGGCCCTTTAATTGTATTTCTAACTTGTAGGAGAAATCACCCCTCACCAAGGCGGGGGATGGCCATGCTGCAATCCCTTCTCCTCCATTCTCCTCTTGGGATCTTGGGCATGCATGCACACGTGCCCGGCATGAGTTTAAGCCACCAGGTCCAGGATTTGAACCACAGTCGACTACATGGGAGTCCAGCAACATAGCCATTATACCAACGGCTGGTCCCACTGCTTCTATCTTTTTTTAACCTTTTTAGAATAATTGGAAATCTAGGTAGCTTTCTGTTTCCATTGTAATGAAGGACAGGGAGAGAGATATTTTCACACTGGTATCCTAGTCTCAGCAAAAATAACTTTTTAGAAAAAATCATCTTTTAACAATTTTATTATTATTATTTTAATTTGTCCTAGGGCAGGCATACTCAACAGAGAGAGACAGAGAGAGAAAGAGAGAGGGAAAGTAAGAAAGCAAGCTGCCAGGTTAGGGTTAGGGATTTTAACTATAGAAAGCAAGCTGCTGGGCCTGGGACTTGAACTATGTAGTTGGCCATGTGGGATCCAGCTGCCTTAACTACCGTGCCATCAGCTGGCCCTGATGGGGCTCTTTTGAGGCAGATGTTTTGAAACAGTAGTGTTAAAGAGGCCAAGTCTATATATAAAATTACTGTAATATAGTTCTTTCTTTTAAATTTAATTTTCTTTAGAGGTTTTTGCCTTAGGGTACATATGCTTGCCAGAGAGAGAGAGAGAGAGAGTGAGCGGGAAAGTGAGAAATCACCTCCCCAGGGGGTTGACTGCACTGCAATCCCTTCTCCTCTGTTCTCCTCCTGGGATCTTGGGCTTGCATGTATACGTGTCTGGTGTGTTTCAAGCCACCAGATCCAGGACTCAAACAGTGATCAGCCACGTTAGAGTTCAGTGACATAACCACTACGTCATCTGCAGGCCACTCTTTTATTTTTAAAGCATTATTTAATTTTATTTATCATTATTACTATCTTTTTTTAAAATTTACTACAGGGCACACGTGCTCTCCAGAGAGAGATAGACAGAGACAGAGAACGAAAGTGAGAAAGCAAGCCACCAGGCCCAGGACTTGAACTGTGGTCATTCATGTGGGAATCCAGTGCCTTGACCCCCTGTGCCACCTGCTGGTCTCACTGTAGTGTATTTCTAAGAAATACATATAGGCTGACTGAACTTTCAGTGTATCTCCAAGGTCATCATTCACTCCTTCAATCATAACTATAAAAGGACATAATAAGGGACCAGCAAATGGCATAATGGTTACGTCACTGGACTTGCATGTAGTTGACCTTGGTTCAGGTCCAGAAACTGGTGACCTAAAACTCACGCCAGGCAGGTGTGTGCCCAGAATCCCGAGAGGAGAATGGAGGAGAAGTGACTGCAGCATGGCTATCCTCCCTGGGGGGTGATTTCTCGCTTTCTATCTCTCTGGTGAGCTCATGCACCCTATGGCAAAAATCTCTCTTAAAGAAAAAAAGCATAATGATATTAAATATAACATAGAAATATTACTAAGTATTGGGTGAACTATTAGGTGTTTTACTAACAAATTCTTTTACGGTTTGAAACTGAGAATAAGAGATCTTATCCCAGCTCTAATATTCCACCTCTCTCCCCAAGTTTTATGTATAACTCTTCCAGTAAGGAAGGCCTTCATATATCTTACTTAAATATGTAAGTCCTTTTACTAATCGAAAATAAGTTTGGGGCCGGTGGGTGGCGTGGTGGTTAAGGACGCTGGGCCTCCCACATGGCTGACTACGGTTCGAGGTCCAGAACTTCTCTCTCTCTCTCTCTCTCTTTCTCTCTCACTCTCACTCTGTCCTTCTCTGGTCAAACTAACTAACTAAATAAATAAATAAAGTTAAGTAAAATAATTCTTTAAAAAAAAAAAAAGAAAAGAAGCATGACAGTTACTGCATTTTGATTTCTTTCCAAATACTGAATTATTGGTTTAATCAAATATGAGTCAATCCTTTCTTTCCATGGCCTGCTTGGAGATGATTTACCATATGGAAACATGACTCAGGGCTATCTGTTGTTTGTCAGGTGGTACCCAAATGCCTTCCTGCTTCCCACCAACTCTGAACTCCAGCTCCTTTCCCTTCTTACCCTAGGAAGTAAAGGCTGAAACAGGGCCATGGCTCAGAATGGAGAAAGGTGGCCTTTCTCACGTTACTTAGTAATAAGACCAGCTGGATGTTTAATACTCGTTTTTTAGGCTGCACATAGCCTACTATCGATATGGCTGCTCCATACTGGTCTGATCAGAATGTCATTTGCCCATTTGGGTTGAAAATATAGGGACATTAACTAGATGATAGGAAAAAGAATCCCTAGCCCTGACTTCATAAGCGATCTGCTCTATTGTCTTTGCAACGAGTATTTATTTTAATTGAGATAATTAGTTATATCTCTTTCATCATAGAGATGTAGACATATTGTTTCTAGTTGTGCTGAATGGATAGTTTGTGTTTGTTTGCTTTTGCTGAAGTTTATTTATCTTATTTTTCTTGAATGAGTAAGAGACAGGTACCACCAACAGGGTCTCGTCACACTGTGATCCTTTTGACCCAGTACTCCAGCTAGTCCGGATATTGGGTGCATTCACCCACTGCATTTTGGGTTAACTCAGGATCCAACCCTGTGGTGAGTCATGTGACTTCTAGTACTTCAGATCAGTATGCTAATATGTGTGTTACCATGCTGGGCGTGATCAGACAGGTTTCATCTATAAATTACAGTTAAAAAAAAACAACAACAAAAAACAAACTAAAAGCAGGCCCAGCCACAGTAGTCCACACCAATTGATACTGCAGCTTGGCAGGCCTGGCAGGCTGAGACCACATGTTCAATTTCCAGCTCACCTGAATACTGAGTGTGGGGCCATCCCATGGCTTGGTGGTTAAGGCAGCTGGATCCTATATGACCAACAGCATGTTTTTTTTTTTTTTCCTAAAGAATTACTTTATTTTAACTTTATTGTCATTTTCCTTTTTGATCAGAGAAAGACAGAGAGAGAGAGAGATAGGGAAAGTGAGAAAGCAAGCCACCAGTTCCAGGGTATTTACACCTTGACCCACTTGCATCCCCAACCAGACCTGATCCTGGGCACATCTTCATGTACAGGGAGACCTCAGCATGCAAACTTGAGACCTTCTCATGTGGTTTCAACATCAAGGAGCTTTGCACCACAGTTGCACCACCATGACTGGCCTGGAATTTTAATTAGTAGGAAAATTAGTTCAGGTCAAAGAACCCAAAATGACCAAAATCTCCGCTGTCTTGATAAAAACTCTTTAAGTCAGTGGGACAGGAGTTGGTATGTGTGGAGGAATGAAGGGTTACTAGGGCCTACTATGTGACTGGTCAACCTCAGTTTAAGTCCCAGACCCAGCAGCTTGAAAACCAGGCAACTGTGTGTGTGTGTGTGTGTGTGTGTGTGTGTGTGTGTGCCCAAAATCCCAAGGGAAGAATAGAAGAGAAGGGATTACAGCATGGCTGTCCCTCCTGGGAGGGGTGGTGATTTCTCACTTTCTCTCTGTCTCTGTCTTTGTTTCTGTCTCTCTGGTGAGTGCATGTATCCTATAGCAAAATGCTCTCTAAATAAAATAAAATAAATAAAATTTAAAAATTGTGGCATTAGACAAAAGGCAATCTATAACTTCAGAGAAATAAGTCTACTTTGAAAAGTACAGAACTATGGGAACCAGCAGTTAGCGTAATGGCTATGTCGCTGGACTCCCACGTAGTCGACCACAGTTCGTGTCCTGGACCCGGGAGCTTAGAACTCATGCCAGGCGTGTGTGCGTGCGTGCCCAAGATCCCGAGAGGAGAATGGAGGAGAAGGGATTGCGGCGTGACCATCTCCCCTGGGGTGATTTCTCGCCTTCTGTCTCTCCTTCTCTCTCTGTCTGTCTGGTGAACGCACACGCCCTATAGCAAAAACCTCTCCAAAAAAAGAAAAAAAGAAAAGAAAAGTACAGAACTGATATTTTTCTAGAAAGGATGCTGTGTTTATTAGTACATGTGGTTACTTGCAATGTTAGGCTAGAATTCTTGACACTTTTTTTTTGAACAAGATTTTAAAAAAATAATTATTTAACTTTAGTTCATTTGACCAGAGAGACATGAGAGAGAGAGAGAAAGTGAGAAAGTAAGCCATCAGATCTGGGACTTGAACTGTGGTTGACCATATGGGAATCCAGCACTTCTAACCACCATGCCACCTGCCAACCTCAATACTGTATTTTAGTAAATATCCTTTATAAGTAAAAGCTTCTGCTCTTTTCTACTGTTTGACTAGATATGTGACTCTTTCTCCCTCTTAGGCAGCTGTGTCAACGCTTCAAGAAATGGCACCAGGAACAACATTCAAACCAGTCATTGGTGATTCAACGGTGGAGCCCAAAAAGTAATTTGATGTATATCTCTCTTTTCATACTGTGTGGTAGAATTTTTAAAGTTTATTTATTTCTTACATAAGAGGTAGAAATCCCCAACAGGGTATTTACACCTTGACCCACTTGCATCCCCAACCAGACCTGATCCTGGGCACATCTTCACCCAGCATGTACAGGGAAACCTCAGCATGCAAACTTGAGACCTTCTCATGTGGCTTCAATATTAACGAGCTTTGCACCACAGTTGCACCACCATGACTGGCCTAGAATTTTAATTAGTGGGAAAATTAGTTCAGGTCAAAGAACTCAAAATGATCAAAGTCTCCTCAGTCTTGATAAAAACTCTTTAAGTCAGTGGGACAGGAGTTGGTATGTGTGGAGGAATGAAGGGTTGCTAGGGCTTACTATGTGACTGAACCCTGCCATGGATGCCCCACTGCTTCACTGGGGAGGCGTTTCAGTCTATGTCTCTTCCTTCTTCTGATACAAATCTTACTTTAAAAGATATCTTCCCTATTTCCTTCCCAACAGTGTTAAGACACTCGTTTTCTGCTCTGGAAAACATTTCTATGCCCTATTGAAGCAAAGAGAATCTCTGGGAGCTAAGAAGCATAATTTTGCCATCATCCGAATAGAGGAGCTCTGCCCTTTCCCCTTGGATTCTTTGCAGCAAGAGATGAGCAAATACAAACATGTTAAAGGTAAAGGGTTGGTCTTGTTAGGGGGTCTTTGGATTTCAAATACCTGAAACTTACTTAAACTATTCTAGATGAGGCAATGGAGCCATGTGAGTTAACAGAAAATGAAATCTTATGGGATCTGAGGATACGAAAAAGCAAACCACTAGTGACAGTGTCTATGTTTCTCTTGATGTCTTTCAGTTTTTGCTTCTCTCATTTAAAACAACTAATTTCTTGGAATTTGGCCTTATCAGTGATATACTACCATCTATGAGAAAACCAGTATAATTTTTTGTTTTTAGAGGTTTTTGCTATAGGGCGCGTGCACTCGCCAGACAGACACAGAAAGACAGAGAGACAGAAAGTGAGAAATCACCCCCCCAGTGGGGATGGCCATGCTGCAATCTCTTCTCCTCCATTCTCCTCTCGGGATCTTGAGCACACACGCACACGCACCCGGCATGAGTTTTAAGCCGCCGGGTCCGGGATGCGAACCACCGTCAACTACGTGGGAGTCTAGTTCTAGTTCTCTCTGTCTTTCTGGTGAATGCATGTGCCCTATAGCAAAAACATCTCCAAAAAAAAAAAAAAAAAAAAAAAAAAAAAAAAAAAAAAAAAAAAAAAAAAAAACAACAGCAAGAAAATAATCTAATTTTCCAAAATGTGCAAAAACTTCCAATAGGCACTTCTCCAAAGAACTAGATGGTAAATGAGCACATGAAGAAATGCTCAATATTATTAGTGATAAGGGAAATTAAAAATTAAGCTAAAATGAGATATGGCTAAATAGCCACTAGAATGGCTAAAATTAGAACTAAATGACAAACTGCTTGGGGCCAGCAGATAGCTTGGTAGTTAAGGTGCTGGACACTCCCAGGTGGCCCAGACCTGGTGGCTTGCTTTCTCATTTTTCCTTCTCTCTGTGTGTCTGTCTTTCTCCGGTCAAGTGAGAATGATTGACTGAATGAATAAAATAAGTAATTCTTTAAAAAAAAAATGGCAAACTACTGATATCAAGTGGTGATGAGAATGCAGAGAAACTGAAACACTCGCTGCTGGTGGGAATGCAGACTGGTATGGCCACTATGGAAAAGAGCTTCTTAGAAAGTTAACATTAACTCACCAGCAATCCCACTTCTAGGTATTTACCCAAGAGAAATTAAAACAGGTTAACAGAAAAATATGTATGCCAATGTTTACAGCAACTTTATTCATGATTTCCCCAAACTGGAAACAACCAAAATGTCCCTCAGATGGTGAATGAATAAATAATTTGTGGCACATCTGTACAAGATCAGACTGCTCAACAGTGAAAAACAGCGAACTATTGTTGTACACGACAACATAGATGAATCAAAATGTATTTTACTAACTCACGGAAGCCAGACCCCAAAGCTATATACTGTATGATCTCATTTATACAACGTTCTGGAAAAGGCAAAACTGAAGGAATAGAGGAAAGGTTGATGGTTGCTAGTGATTAGGGGTAGACTGTAAAGGACATGATGAGAAATTTGAGGGTTGACACAATTATTCGATATCATGATTGTGGTGGTAGATATATGACTATGTATTTGCCAGAAAAAAGACAAGCAACAAGTCTTTGTATCTATGCCACATTGGAAAGGCATATATTAATTGAAATTGGATATACTGGGTTGTCGGAAAAGCCATGATGCATTTTTGCATAGAAAAACATAGACCTAAAGAAAAAAAATAATTAAAAAAAAAAGAAAAACATAGACCTATATACCATTGGCCCAGTATATATGTATACTTACATGTCATGTGTGCACACTTGTGTATACACAAGGGAATGTCCCGACCCGGGGGGACAGCCGAACAGGTTTCCTGAGTGAAGGAGTGAGAGCCGGGGCAAGCAGCGTAGTGTTACAGCACGGAGACGACAGTGTCGTCTGTTTATTGTGGGCAGCACGGTACAGCACAGAGACGACGCAGTGTCACAGCTCTTAAGGGTCGCATCGTCTACTGTGAGCAGCACGGAGACGACGCGGTATCACAGCTCTTCAGGGTCGTCCGGAGACGATGTAGTGTTACAGCTCTTCAGGTCTCCCAGTTCGTCTGGAGACGATGCAGTGTCAGCTCTTCAGGATCTTCAGGGTCGTCTGGAGACTGTGCAGTGTTTCAGCTCTTCAGGCTCTTCAGGTGTCGTCCTTCTTGTCC